TCTTGTTTCTCTTTCCAAGAAATGAAAGTGCTCGGAAGCCTGTGGATTAAGCGGGGAGGGTGTGAACTTTGAATTTTGGTGTTTCCTTTCTTTTACCTTGTTGGGGTGGCAGAGGCAGATGTCTTCCTTTGTGTTTCTTGCTGTTATACAGACACTTAATGCAGTCTGAAATCAGCTACTGCTAGGAGGGGTAGTTTTTTCCCTCCTTCCTTTGACATTCCTTCCTGTAGAAGGAGCTGCTTGGTGAAGAATCTGTATGGCTAAAAATAACATTTTAGTGTTTTCAGTGAGATAAATCCCCCTGTCAAGCTCACCACAAGCTGCACAGACCCTGGTACTGATAGAGAGGAGCTGTTCTTGCCTCACTGTCTAATATGTCATTCATCACAGCCTTGAGTATTTGCTAGTTTCAAGTAACTGTGTAATCTAGTTTGATCTATTTCACCATGAAATAAAGAGGAAACAGACATCCTCTGTTTTAGCAGGTGAGGATGCATATGTGAAAGATAATGTGGAGTCATTTAGGTATTTAAAACAGATCCAAAGTTGTGGAGGAAGCCCTACCATTTGGCCCTTTTCCCACATAAAGTGTGAATTAAATTTGCTTTCTTATATATGTCCTGTCACGTGTTTTTCTAGGGCCTGGGGGCTGCATGTTCTGCGTTAGACCAATGCATTTCATCATAACATGATTGGTTGGTGGCAGACATCTGTCCTGAACAGCTGGATGCATCTAATACCACCTATTTTTCACAGTTTGCCCCTGCAGTTACAGCAAATAACCCCTTTGAAAATACTAGGGATTGGAAAAGATCCTTTGGGTAACATGTGTGCTCAAAACCACACACATGCACATGCACAAAATCAGAGGTGCGGGTTGAGCAGAGATGGGATGGGGATGCAGAAGTTATGGACTAAAAGCAGCAAGCAAAGGAAGATCTGTGGCTGGGAAGCTCTCTCAAGGTGTGTCTCTGGGATAGATTTCCCTTCATCTCTTCCCCATCCTGCATAAATCACAGTGCTTCTAAAGCACAGGTTGTTTTTTTGTTTCTGCAGACAACCCCTGCATGATGTGAGTGAAGATGCTGTGCCAGTTCTTCTTATGTGTTGTACATTTTATGTGACTATAAAAATAAAAATTTATGCTCCTTGCTGCTTACTGTCTACATTTTTTCCTCTCATGTCTGCTCTGAGCAGTCATAAAAAGGTTACTTGTGCTGTAGCTGGGATTTAAGATCAAAGATTTTATTAGCTTGCAGGAAGGCTCTTCCTCCCCGTCTGCATCCAAACCAGATAATTTCTATTCTGTTAGCAGCAGGATCAAACCCTGAAAACCAATGGAAGAAGCTTCCTTTGACCTAAATGGTGCAAGGCCAAGCTTTTAGGCTCCTGTTTTGTGTGTCAGAGACTATTACTGTCACAGGAAGCATAAGCAGCCGTAGCTTTCCTGCATAGTAACAGAAGACTGTGCTTCTAAAAATTACTCTACAAAGTGCTTTTGCAGAGCAGCCTCCCCAGGGTTCTCCATCTGTTTTCATATGGAGATTAATAACAAATTGTTTGGCTAATAAACTGCTCCTTGCTGTCTCTGAAATGTGACCATTTCTTTTCCCTCCCTCCCATGGACAGTTATTAGATTCCTGCCTGCCCCTGTGCACCCACGTGGGGGGCATCACTAGTATGAGATGCACAGCAATTTTTAATGTTTCAGCTCCATAGCAAGGCTTTTAAAGGGGGAAGATTTTGGTGTGTGGCTGAAGGAACTGGTGCTGTGGACAGCTGTGTAGTGCTGAGGGTTGGTCTTATTCTTAGAAGTGGTAAAGAAAAGGAAGAGAGGAAAATGAAGCTCTTTGTACGCTGCTGTGATTTCTGCAAGTGCCCATTTCTTGTTTGCAGCTACAGAGAAAATATTTCCAGGAAAAATGGGACTGAGGCTTGAACTTGTTCAACTCAGCACAACTCAGCTGTGGGATGTAGGACTGAGGGTGGTATTTTGAAGGGCTGTGTTCAGAAGTTCTGGACCAGCTGGCAGGGGATATTCTAGCTGCTTCATTGGGAAACCGATGAGACAAAAATAAACATGTACTGTGAGAACAGGCTCAGGATCAGGAGGGGTCTTTGTGATCTTCAATCTGACTGCTCTCTAATGAAAACCAGAGGACTTTCCCTCTTCTAGTCAAGTATAGGTGACCAAAATTCTGCCAAGACACCCAGTCCAGATTTGGAAGTTTCCCGACAGTTTATCACCCAGTGATATACCAAGGGACACCTACCCACTTTGGTAAAACACCTACCTAACATCTGCCTTTTTGCATCTTTCAGCTTTTTATCTTGCTATATCCTCCTCTGCTGGGTCATAAGTATCTCCTACATACTTTTGGTTTTGATGTAGGCAGACTGACATCAGATTTTACCTTCTTGTGCCTTAAACAGAATAATCTGGGCTCCTTCACTTCCTTACCCCAAGGGCTTTGCCTCAGCCACAGCAGCAGAGCTTCTTAGGGGCTTGTCCCCCATGGCCCATTCCCTCTCCTTTTATCAGCAGGAGGAAAAACTGAGCTGCCACTCTCAGATTACCCTGCTGTGGAGGTGTTTCTTGTCCTGGTGGTAACTCACAGAGGCAGTGGCTGCCATAGTGGGGTGGAACATCAGACACAGCAAGATAACTTGGGGATCATGGGCATGTTCTGGTCATTAATCAGGGTCTGCCTGCCTGGTGAGCACAAGAACAGGACACAGATTGCCAGTGCCTGTCTATGAGAGATTCAGGAGGGATATCACCTTCACAGTCAAGGATGACATAGTCCTGTGGGCTTTGGCATCACACTGAGAACTGACATTAGCTTATCATCCACTGTGAGTTTAAGCAAGGCCACAGCTGGATCAACTTTAGGGAAAAAAAAGAAGCCCCACTAAAAATATTTGCCTGTAGCTTTGTGTTATTTTTAAATGTTACTTGTAAGTGATCCCCTTCTCAAGTCAGTAGGGACTGAACATGGAACTACAGCCAGGAACTTTGGGAATCTAATCAACTACTGTGTCTCCACACTTCTAGTAGATTATTCCAAAAGTGATGCTTTTGGTTTCTCTGTTTCCAGGCCTGTTTTCCTCACTTTTGGAAGCAGAATCTCACTGTTGTCTCAGGGGCTCATTAGGTTCAATCACATAATTTCAAGGTTTTATAGATGCAAAACATGAAGTTTTACAGCTGATTTTCAGTGAAAAATATTAGAGTCTATTGTACTTCCTGAATGAATTTACTACAAAGAGTGAGTTTATTCCATTACATAAAATAATTCCATTTACCCCTAAAGGCATTAAAACAAAAACAAAACAAAACCCAAACAAACAAAAAAGCCAACAAACAAAAGCTTACATGAATTTCTGTTTTCCAGTGTGTCTACTAATTTAGACGTGCATCTTTTATTGCAGGTGTGATGGCAACAGACTCTTTCCAGCCATGCTGCAGAGCTCAAAGTATTGTCTGCCCAGTAATTTAGAAGTGGTGTGGCTTCTGGAGTACACTGAATCTTGAGGGGGGTTTTAAGTCCATTTTATGTGTCTTCTGATCACCAGGGAAGATTTATTTTCTCTAATGCACAAAAATAATCTGAATTGTTGAATTCTTCAAGGCTCCATAGAGCCTAATGGGCACAGTCTTAGGTGTTAAAGTGATACAATTACAAGTTTTGTGTGGGTGTGGTGTGTTTAAGTGTGAGCATACCAGGCATAAATAGTTGATCTAAAGTTCTGCACAAAATTTCAAAACAGACCAGCAAAATCTTAGATCTGTGGGAAGACCAGGACCATACTGCCAAATTTAAAAATGCTTAACTTTTTTCTGTCATGCTTTCAAATAAAACTATTTCCCCAGCAATATGTAGGCTGTAAACTGTGATACTTGTGTTTCTTAGTTTCCTGTTAAAGGAAAGACTCAGTTACTAGGTAGAAGCTTAACTATTGGTCAGTTGCATTTTTTTAAATACAAATGTTCACATAAATGTTCAACAGAGCTCTTCAGAGTTGTTAAAATGTTATTCATTGTATTCAGATTTGTACCTAAATGCTTCATGAATACTTGGAACAGTCACTTTCCTTAAATGTTATGGAATCTGAGAACCATTAACCCTTTTTCCATATTCATGGAGCAGGATTTGCCTGCCTCGATGCATGTTTAATTATGTTTTTACTTAGGCAGCTTTCCCATGGATGACAGTTTCACTTGATATCGCTGTTAACTTTGCTTGAATGAGGAGCAAAAATTGATTTTTGCTTAAAAGATTTGTGAACACTTGTGTTGTTTTCTCTGCACAATCAGAAGAATTTGCTGTGGTTCCCAATTCCCTCTCCACCAAAGTCATCTTAATCATAATTTTGCTTTAAATCCACTGTATATTCTGTATTTTTAAAGTATGGCAACACTACATATTGCTAAATTGTTAAAGTTTGAAACATCACTCATTTTGACATAATTTGATTAATTTTTGTAATGTCTTTGCAGAGGGGAGTAAATCATTAGAAGCTCAAAATGAGAAAGGCTGGCACCAATATAGCTGTTGTAATGCTGGACAAGCACAGTGTTCCTGTTGCAGTTGTCTCTAGGCCAGTCCCTTAAATCGGTCAACTTCTTTTTCATCTATGGTTTCAATCTCTTATTCTGATGCCTTTGGGCCAAAACTATTGTCTTCTGTTTGTTTCCAGCATTGCAGAGGAATGTTAAATTCATCCAGTAAGCTGGCTATGTTTAATCCCTTCTTATAAAGGTTAATACTCTTTCCAGTAGCTTTGGTTTGTTCTAGTGAAAACTGGACCTTAAGAATCAAGATAAATTAGACACCACAAAACATGTAGGCATGTAAGAGAATTGATTTTCAGGACAGTAATAAAGATCTTCAGATGACATTTAAACCAGTTAGAAGTAACTCTTTTGAGGACAATTCTGCCAATCTTTTCTACTTGGTAAGACACAGACACTTTTTCAGCTTTCTCTCTCATTTTAGGCTGGGAATGGAGTGCATAGTTTGGATACCAGCAGTGGGACATCTTACCAGAACAAAGCATCCATGGGACCATTGTTAATCAATGACTTGTAAGTGCAGGATTGGTGCTGTTGGATTGGAAACAGGTGCTACAAGATGCCAGGTGAGGTGACTGAGAGCAGCAGCGGGATGGAGGAGACTGTGCAGAAAGACAGCAAGTCTGGAGGCCAGAGCCCTCGCTGTGGCACAATGAGAAGGGCTGTGGCAACCACTGTCACCTTTGATGGGGAAGCCACTATGGACCGCAGGAAAAAGAAGAAGAAAGAGTCCCGGCCCGAGTCAATAATCGTGTATCGGTCCGAGCATGACAATAAGGTGGAAGAAGAACAGGTGGATGAGGAAGGAGGGGAGAAGAGCTCTGAGGAAGGCTCCAAGTTCCTGGGTCAGTCTATGACAGATGGTATGTAGTCCTGAGAACACTCACTTCACATAAGCTTTTTTGATGCCATCATGCTCTAAGGTCAAATGGAAGTGACTGTGGGCCCAACCCTCTCCAAGACTGCAGGCAAGGAGAGCTTGAGTTCATACATGAAAATGCTCTGAAACAGAAAGCATTCCAGGCTGATTTGGGATGTCTCCTGAAGTCCTTTGCAAACTTTGGTTATTGCTACAGTGTTAGTTTTAAATGTATGTGCTGGTTGGGGTTGATGTGCTGGTTGCAGTGCTATGCATCCATTAAGCCAATGATGTCCTTCTAAGCCGTGATCAAGCTGCTGTCCATGCCTGAACAACTGCCCATAAAGTGAAAGGATGGAAGCAGATGGAGTTAGTGGCTCTACCTTTGATAGGGAATTTAACTCATTATATAGGATTTGCTGTTGCCTTCTGTTTGCATGCACTCAGCACGGCTTCCTCTTGAAGGGTGATTATTTGGCAAGGTCATCATGGGGCATCTTCGAGTCACTTTCACTTCTGCTATCTGTCCTGGGTGCCCTTGCAGGGAAAAAGTGTGGAAGGCAGGTCATGTGGCTAAATACTCCTGTGAGTCAGCAGTGCAGGCTGAGAGGGGCTCAAATGATCCTGGGCCACCAGCTACACCAGGTGCCCCCATGATCCCAGACCTATCATTACTTGCCTGCTGCCTTCCTACTTTTTTGCAGCACTTCAAGCTGCTCAGCCTCTTTTTAAGAGTTTCAGAAGACCTTCTTCCAAGCTAGTCAGAATTAAGACCAGGAGGAATTATGCTGTAGCCCCAAAGAGGAGTTTATGGCCAGTAGTACTGCATGGCCCATCCTATACCAATGTCACTTGAAAGCTAAAGCAGACCCTTTGTAGCTTTAACACATATACCAGCACTGTCCAGTTTGGTGCCTCTACTGATCTCTTAAAATGCAAAAATAATTTTATGATAGTTTGTTAAGTTTTTCTAAACTTCAAAAATTAATGTGGATTGAGCTACAATGCAAATGTAAAGTGAAATATTAGCTATTCAGGTATAATTCCATGTGTGGATGTGCTTATTCCAAAACAAGAGTCTCAGTGATATTTATCTAATTAATCCCAAGTGTCCATGCTGTTCAGGAATAAATCCATGAAGTAAACAGAGAAAATATGTATACCATTTTCAATTGAGTTACTCTGTCTCATTCTCTCTCATTCTCCTATACTCTTGCAGCACTTTCCCTTCACGTATTTTCCCTAGTGGAGACACTGGAGTTTTCTCCCTTGTGATTTCTATCATTTGGAATTCCTGTCATTTTCCTCATTAGCTCTTCTTCCATTTTCTTTTGTGGTAATTTTCTTCATACTGCATTGCTTCTTGTCTTCCATCTTTTAAAATCTGATTCTAAATACAACTCCATATGTACTATCTAATTGTCTTTGGGGTCTTTGAAGATTTACACAAAATACTTCGTACAGAAAATAAATCTGATGTAGATGAGTTTATCTGTGTTGTAGGTGTCTGGAACATGCCTTTAGACAGCCGCTATGTCACCTTGACTGGAACAATCACCAGGGGAAAGAAGAAGGGTCAGATGGTGGACATCCACGTCACCCTAACAGATAAAGAGCTGCAGGAACTGGCTAAGTCAAAGGAACCTCCTAAAGAAGATGTACCTGAGAAGAAGAAGAAATGTGATGTTGGGCTAGACAGAGGACCTCACATCGTCCTCTGGACCATCATCTGCCTCCCCGTCATTTTTGTAGTGTCCTTCGTGGTTTCATTCTACTATGGAACCATTACATGGTACAACATCTTCTTGGTGTACAATGAAGAGAGGACCTTCTGGCACAAAATCACCTTTTGTCCCTTTTTGATTATCTCCTACCCAATTATAATTATGGTTGTTTCTTTCTCCCTAGGCCTGTATTCAGCTGTAGCCCAGGTAGCATGGTCCTTTGGGTACTGGTGGCACGCTGTCAGGGATATGGAGAAAGGATTCTGTGGCTGGCTCTGCAGCAAGCTGGGCTTGGAAGATTGTTCTCCATACAGCATTGTTGAGCTACTTGATTCTGACAATATCTCAGGTAGTCTCTCTGGCAAGAGCTCTGCACAGGGGGTTGACACCTCAGCAGTCTGAGCCTTTCTCCTGGGTGACTATTTTGGTCATACACCAGTGTTCTTACCTAGAAAATAACACACTGATTTTTTTAAAAAATATACATACATATTTAAACAGAAACTTAATGAATAAAATGTTAGGCTGAGAGTTCTCTTTAAATGTCACAGAATGCAAGAATGCTAGCTTCACATGCTCTGGGTGGGGAGGTGCATGGCTTTCCAAGGATTTGTCATGTGTTGTAGCTATTTACAGCTTCTGGGAGTTGTAAGAAAATCCAGGTCTGCAGGGCTCTGGCTGTTTGTGGAGTAGCAGAGACATTATGAAAAGGCCACTTCTGTCAAGACTTTACTTTTCAGCAATAGGAAATAGTAGTGACCTATGACACAGTGAAAAGAAGTCTCTGCTCGGGGGATGAACTTCAAGAGATAGGAACCCATTCAGAGGTGAAGGCTAAATTGCAAAATGTGTGATGTTCCTGCAGTTTTCTTAGAAAGGGTCCTTTCCCAGTCCTTCCAACAAAAGCAGCTAACTTAGGCAGGCTGACTGCTTAGGCACTGTCAGAGTCCAGTGTCACAGACCACTGGAATAGTGGGAGAGGACAGCATAGCTGCCAATGAAGGCAGGTGAGTTCTGCACTGACCTGAAACAGCCCCATCCCACGATGGAAGAGCAGAGCTTGCTTTGTAATGTGGTGTGGGGGGACCTGATGAGGCTGTCACCAAGAACCCTCAAGTGGCTGCAGGTGCTCAGATAGGTGCTTGGAACACCTCTGCAGTGGATCTCTTGGTATGTGCACTGCTAGGGAGGAACAATCTACAGGAGTCATACGCAGTGTGCAGTGCAAACAGGTGTACTATAGGGAGGAAACACCTGCTCTAAGGAGGTGTCTGCCCCTAAGGAGGGGACAATCCATTAACATCTCACTGCAATGCAGGTGTGGACTTGCAGCACCTGGATTTAGAGGTGGAGTTGAAGGCACTTAGGATGCAAAGGGCTCTGAAACAAGTTATTCTGGTTTTCAAGTTGCTCTTATGGAAGAGCTGTCGGACCTCCCTTTCCAGAATGGGGGAGTCCAGGCAATCTGTGCCTCTGGAAATCTGTGTCACCTTCCCCACCCCATCCCTCTTCCTCTTTAATTATGTCGAAGAGCAATGGTTTGTACGTCCTCCTCCCCTCATGTCTCATTTTTGTAATGGGTTTCCCTCCTTTTTGGATTTTTCATGGCATCATAGCAGGCTCCCTGACCAGGGGAGGTGGCCACCATAGGCTGGAGAAATTTTAATTGTCTCTTAAAAAAATTACTAGCAGAAAAGTTCTTTATTCTCCATAATCTGTTGGGGTTTTGGCCTAAGAAGGAGATGAGAAAATAAAACTGTAGCAGATTCTAATGGGGAGTGAGCAACATATCTGAAACATAGTTAATTTTCTCAGTGCTCCACTGCTGGTGCTGCTGGAAAGTCTGTGAGGCCCAAGCCAGAGGAGCCACCATTTGCTTGCATGTAGGTAGGTAAGTGTGACATGCAGTCTGTCAGCTGCACAGTCACTCCTGTCTCTGTAGTGTCTCACTTCCCCGGTCTCCCTATCGGGAGGAGGGAACTGCTGCTCTACTTTTGGGATGGTAAAAAGAAACCATTCAGAAGCTGGATTTCACAGAAACTAATGCTTTGTGTTGCATTTTAAGGTTGAGCTCAAGACTACACTGACTGTCCTGGTTAGAGCATCTGGGAACTGGTGATGTATAAACAAATTCCATCTGATCCTCTAGTCCTGACACAGAGAAATAAATAGTTCCTGCTGCATCCTTGGTCCTTGGGAGGTCAAAGGAGCCTCTTAGCATTGGATGAAGGCTCAACTGTAAATAATGCACAGGCCAAATATTAAGAGCAGCCTTGGCCCCACACTTAACTGGGAAAGCAGTGGTGCTCCCTGGGCACAGGTAGAGCCAGGCTGTGTTTGTTGCTTCCTACTATCATTTTTTACTGGTGAAGTTTTTCAAAGCAATTACCAACTTCCAGAAAAAAAATAATAAAATAGACCCCAATCTGTGAGACAACATCAGGTAGTTTAGAGGGATTCAAAGAGGCTGACATCTGCCTGGGACTGGTTCAAGCAGTGGAATGCCTTTCACAGGCCTGTTCCAATCAGGCAGGCTGATATGCCTCTGAATTAATGGAGATGCTAAGGATAAGCCATGCCAGTGCTGGCAGGCTGTAGTGACCCAGTGCAGCCACTCTCCACATGGAAGTTGCAGGCTCCCACATAGCTGAAGGATGGGAATAAGTGATGCTTAACAAGCATTAAGGAAAAGGAAGGTTCACTGACAAGCGTTCTCACGCTTTGCCTAAAGGGACACTGCTGGCATGAAAGGGGTGGATTGTGTATCTTGGCCCCAACATGCAGCAGACAAGTTTGGGGAAAGGATGGCTGGCAAGTGTGCATTGCTGCAGAGGGACAAACCCAATTCAGCTGTCACTGCCAAACAGCAGCTGTTCGAGGCTGGGGTCAGTAGCACAAAGAGCCTTCAGCTTACAGAGGGCTCGAATGATAAATACCAGCTCATTACAGAATACATCCATGTGAAATGTCTGCTGAGCTGCAGGATTTGCTTTCAGGATTGCTAACAGCCCTCTGGAGTGTAGACAAAACCAAATCTGTGCCTCTTACTGCTACATAGACACAAAGGAGCATCAGAGGAGTCATAGTACCCTCCCTTTGCAGTGCAGCTGTGCTTCTGGGTTTGGAGGTCACAGTTTGGGGGATATGCTGGGACAATCCATCATGTGTTTTCTACTTTACACTTAACTAAGCTTTCATTGGCTCTGCTAAATTCAAGGCATTCTGTCATTGATTTTGGTGGGGGCTATTCAAGCTTGGGGTTAGTTCTGGTGCTTGGGGTTAGTTTTGGTGCTATTTGTAAAAGTTTAATTCAGACTTTTCTCTAAGCAGCTGGATAGCTTTCTCTCTTGCCCATTGTCCTCTGTAGCAGTTTGCCTGTTGCAAAATATATAATAATTATCAATTGTTGTAATAGAAAAAAGCACAAGTTTTTGTCTTGTCCAACCCTGCTTTCAGAATCAAGTAATTTCTGCTTGAAGTAATGTGCCACTGTCAGACTGCAGGGAATTCCAGTTATTCTGATTGTTGAGTGTTTCTGGCTGCTCTAGTCTGGATGTTTTTTAATTAAAGATACTGTTTGCTGATTGTTATTTTTAATTGCATTCCCTTTTCCCATCCTTGCTGGCCTGGGTGGAGAATAAAGATGTATGTGGCTTTACAGGACTGTTGCTCTCATGCTTCTGTTTTACTTTGTGTTAAAATCAGTGGTGTGGAATGGACACAGTCATTCTGTGCTGATAATTGATTAGAATTCCTTGTGTTTGAAAATCCACTTTAAAGTGTACCTGAAATGGGTCAAAGTTCCACCCCTTGTTAAACAGGGCCTATCTAGAATTGTCATATATCTTTGGGGCCTGGGTTCTTTATTTTTACTTCATAGCTCACAAAAGAAAATTTTTGATTTAATTTTACTCATTTGGGTGTCTGTTTAGCTTTAGCCACAAGGATCTATAGCAGGGGACACACTTCCATACCAAAACAGGAAGTACTTTTAACTCTTCAAACATGGTTTGTGTGTCTGTGACTTAGAGCTGCTATTTAAAGCTGTGCTGGGAAGATTTCTTAAAACCCTTGGGTACTTCAGGCATGACTCTGCTAAGTCAAAGGAGAATCCACCAGCACAGTTCCTCGAGGTGCCTAAATATTAAATGACACCTTTGGATGTCTCACACATAGTCGTATTACAGCCCTACTCTCCTGCTTGTGCAGGGAAAACACTTATTTAAAATCTTCTTTCTTCTAAGAAGGAAAGATGGATCTTCAGAAAACCCAAACAAAATTCCTAGCTGAGGGCTAGCACAGCTTCAGTAAAGCATCTCTTTGAGCCAAAAAGCTACCTGTAGGAAATTCCCTCAAACTGGAAGTGCAACAGCTGAAATAGCAGGAAGGTGCTTTTGGTTTGATGCCTGCTGCAAACACGGCCAAGGGAACAGAATTCCTTACGTGGTAGATGTCTGCTGGGGACTTGCCACCTCTAGTGAAAAACAACAAAGGACACTCAGCTTCCTGTGAGATGGAGATAGTGGGCCCAGAGAATTAGCTCATTAGCCTGTGCAGTTCTCATTTCTGAGGTGCAAGGTAATAATTTGATAATGGTTATCAGTGAGAGACTCCTATGGAAGATCTTTGCATCAGGCAAAGCACACCTGTGTGGCTGCCCCATGTATCTCACCAGGGGGAGAGGAGGTGCTAGTTCTGCCTGCTGACTTACCCACCCCATTCACTTTCTCTGAGGACTGAACCAATAACAGCATGAGTGTGCTTTTACCCACTGTAAGTCCCTCGAATTCACCCTTCTAGACCCTCCAGCCTGTGCTTTGAATCCTAAGGTCAGGATCCTGTAATTCCTCATTGAGATTATCAGCAGAGGCTGCACAATGGATCCTCATAACCACTCCTCACAGGTACCTTTCAGAAGCTGCAACCACTAGCTAAAAACAGCCACTCCAGTGTGCTCTTGAACACTGGAGCATGCAATTACACTAGCATTACAGAGAGAAAATAAGGATGCACAGAACACAGTTCTGCACTGTGATGGACACAATTTGGCTCAACATTTATGCAGCCCCTTTTTGTCCCAGGCAGTGAAATATCTATGGGATCAGTGCCCTCCCTGCTTCTTTCCAAGCATTTGGCAATGTGAGGCAGTTGTGTTCATGTGTTTTCATCCCTAGATTAGTCCACGCACGTTTATTCCCTGAATGGAAAAGGGAACTCAAAAAAAAAACAAAAAAAAAAAAAAAAAACAAAACACAACAACTTGAATCAAATTCAGGAAGGGCTAATCCACTTAGAAACACAACTTTTCAATTAATTTGATGAATTAGAACAGACATTGTGTTTGCTTGTCTTTACTACTAAAGCGTGATTTCTCCTCCAACAGGCAGACACTTAATGATGAGGGAGGGCTTGTGGTTGTGTGTTAGGTCCAGGTAAACTACCAGGCAGCCCAAAAATCCCCAAAGCATCCTTCCACATAACAGGTGAAGTGTGATTGCATACAAACAAGCAGTCCAGAGAAATGAGGCATGAGGGTCTGTCATGTATCCCCCCCTGGTCACCCAGTTCCATTAACTTGCAGTTCTCCTAATCTCATGTCATTACACAGTAGCTGAAGTCTGTCAGAATGCATTAAGATACAGAGAATGCCTGAGTCAGCCCAACAATGCATTTTTCCCTGTGTTATAAAAATGCCCTTGCTTTTAGTGTGCTAAAACATAGAACCGTATTCCCAGACTACAGCAGCTAAAATCCATTGTGGTTTGTATCCACTGAAATTAGATATTCCATGGGTAAATTTGACCTGGAGCCCCTTAAGATACAAATCTTAGATGTGATCTCCTTGTCTTAGGGCTCCTTGTCCCAGCCATTTCTTCCAGGTGCACACTTAGCTTTACAAGATAAAAAAGGATAACTAC